GTTTGTTTGTTTGTTTGTTTGTTTGTTTGTTTGTTTGTTTGTTTGTTTGTTTGTTTGTTTGTTTGTTTGTTTGTTTGTTTGTTTGTTTGTTTGTTTTTCCTCTTCGCATAGCCTGCCACCTATGGTCAATGAGCAATAATGTGTGGTAGTTGCTAAGAATCATTTTCAACACATACTCTAAGTTCCACACATTTTGCATAGCATCTTTGCTTTAAAGAAGAGTTGCCCAAAGTGGGGCCTGCAGGCCAAGAATGGCCCGCCAAGCCATTTGATTTGGCCCACTAGCAGTTGTCCTGGCTACTAGGTTGTATTCTCCAGTTTTATGTAAAAACACAAGTCATTCCAACCATTGGTCCAACTGTAAGGAACTGTAGTGCAGATCGTCTTGACTCATGGCACTTTCATTTATCTTTGCATTATACAGTATTAAGATTAATCATCAAATACAATAATTACAAGAGACATTTAGATTAAAAATAAACACACATCTAGATTTGCACACTTTAAAATTGTATAATTTATGAAAAACCCATGAGCTTTTTCTGCCTGAGCATGTGCCAGATTTTCGACACCTTAAGAAGTTGTAGTCATGTATTATATATTACTGTATTAGGCCCAGAGCCCCCAGATTGATTTTCATTTTGGCACTCTCAGGGAAAATGTTTGGGCACCCCTGCTTTAAACATTGGCACTAACAATTTCAGTCATCTCTGTAAGCAAAACTGAATTATTTTTAATGAAACGCACTTAGAGTATTTACTGAATATAATTGAACAGCTCCTTAACTTTTGGGGTCAAAATACTTTGAGATGTTCATCAAAGCTAATCAGCATTGCCAACCCAAATCTGGCTGTAACTTAGTCAGATATTAAGTAAAAATATATTGCTGAGGAAGCTGAATGTCATCAACAGCTTGCACTGTGAGCACTATTAGAGTTTATGAGAGTCTGTCTTATATTTTTGCGTGGCATTGAACATTATTTACAAAATTTGATCCAAGCAGCTAGAATTTAACATTCTTGTCAGGAATGGTGACAAGTGATAAGCTTCATGGATTGTTAAGTCTTTCATTTGAACTCTTAGWAACAATTTGTCCTGGTTAGATAAATGTAATGTGTTTCTCTTCTCAGTCATATGGTGGTTATGTTGCCTCAATGGCCTTGGGTGCTGGAACTGGACTCTTCAAGTGTGGGATTGCAGTGGCCCCAGTAGCTAACTGGGAATATTATGGTGAGTAGCTACACCATACAATAGGTACAAACCTGTTGGGTACAGCATTATTGTAAGAGGGTCCTTACGCATCCCAATAATCCAGGTAGAAAAACCTATAAAAAGTTGAGTCAGGTTACATTTCAAAATTAAATGTTTCAACAAAGAATGACCCGTCTAAAGGACCTGACTCAACCTTTTTAGGCTTATTATGAGATTTCTGCCCTGAACCTATTTAGTGTTGAATGGAGAGTATGTTAAATACTTTCTCTTTTTTTCTTTGTTTGTTAAAWAAGTTTGGTTTATTTTTACGTGTGTGATGTAACAGTACACTTAACCAAGTTGTCTCCTTTTGTAGATGCTATATACACAGAGCGCTACATGGGAAGACCCACAGAAAATTCAGATGCTTACAAAGTAAATGTTGCCAAATCAACCCTACAGTATTTAAACTGCACAGATTTGATTTTAAATGTAAGCTACTTTTCCCCCCGTTTGTAGAATTCTACAGTTACATCCAGAGCAAAGAACTTCAAAAATGTTGACTATCTTTTGGTTCATGGCACAGCAGATGGTATGTTCTGTCTTTTTCTTGTTTTTGATCAGTCGTGAATGCGTGGCAGCCCTGTTTCACATCAGGGTGCTTGGTAACAAAGTCAAGTCGTGCACAAATGAACTGTTTGCCTCCATAGACTTTCAGACAGTTTGTCCTTCCCTTTAGACAACGTCCATTTCCAGCAGGCTGCGCAGATCTCCAAAGCTTTGGTGAATGAGCAAGTGGATTTCGAGGCAATGGTAAATATTGGCTCAGGGATGTAGAACTAATATTGGTCTTGATGGTGTTGTTTTAAGGTTTCAAACGGAAAAACTGTGCACTTTGGTTATTAGGAAAAAAGAAAATGATTGAATTTGTGTCACACTGAACATGGACTGTGATCATTTTGTTTGTGCGCTGATGATCTTATCTGGTGTGCTAATTCCACAGTGGTACACCGACAAGGACCATTCTCTCGGTGGATCAGCTTACCAGCATACATACACCCTCATGAGCCACTTTCTGCAGAGATGCCTCCTAAATCCCAAATAGATGTGAACAAACAGACACAATTTTTAGTGAATCGATTTGTTGATACTTGTATATTTCTATTTTTATTGATACTGAGGAATAAATCAGGTAATGTTTAGCCTATTTTACATTGCTGCATGTTTTAGTGGTTCATAGTTGTGGAATTTTTGTCAAAAAAGCGACTTTTTGATAAAATAAAAAAGCCATTTTAGTTGAAAACATTTTTATGTGATTGCGATAAATCACACATTTAGTTGTTTGCTTTATTGTTGTTTTTATACAGATAAGAAAAAGATTTATTTATAAAAACAGGTTCATTTTTACTCGTTGTTAGTTTGTTGAATTATAATTACAAGCATCTTAGCGTACAATTATTCAGGTTTTGTATATTTTGTTTCTCTATAAGATTTTCTCAAACAGCTTGACAGAATAAAAACGAGCTCTTTTTTATTGTGCAACCCCGTGTGAGATCAATTTCATCAACAGAAACAAGCATCATTTCAACACATGCTGGCAGGTGTTCATCTGTCAGATTGGAGGTCACCTTTGATTTGAACACCTCCTAAGGTGACAGTTTGACCATCCAGCTGTCGTATTGTCACTTTTTAACTGAAGTCAAACACATTCAGGGGACTCAGCAGAAGCTGACTAATGGGTTGAGTGCAGCAGTGAGTATGCTAACGTTTGTGTGATGGGGATGGGGGTGGGGG